CATGTCGATCTTGAATCCAAAATCTTCACCTTGTTGGATGCGTCTTCCATTGAAGCTGGCTCCATGATCTGTCTATTTTGTAGTTCAACCCACTTGCCGAACTGGTATGTCTGTCGTAGTTGGCTCATCTTCTCATGGTGTATGCCAGCGCCGGCCGTCAGCGCCGTCAGCAGGTCGTCCACCTCCACTGCGATGAGTCCAGTCAACTGTCCTCTGTGATGTAGTCGAAACAGGCATGGGTCCATTCTCGACTGGACGTATCCCAACTCTTTGAGAGAGTTGGTCAATGACCTTCTCCAATGAAGCGGAGCGTCCACCAGGCCATAACATCCTCTGACCACTTGGACCAACTGTCTCGAGTCGAGCCCTTCGATTCCGCCTGGCGGGGGTTCGAAGAAGATGTCTCCTCCTTCTCGGTTCAAAGGCATTGATTGGCAGAATGCATTCTTCAGGTCTCCCAATGCCACCGGAAATCTTGCGTTTGCGGCCAGCTGCAGCAAAACATTCACATTCATGGTTGACACGGTGGGCGAAAATCTTTCCAAGTTCAACAGGTCGGGGTCCTTGTCGCCTCGAATGCACAGTCTGCTCTTTTGCGTTGGCGGTTCTCCTGGTTGTTCACTGTGTTTGTATTTTCGCAGCATGCGTGAGGGCAGAATACGGTTGCTCTGTCCTTTGCTTCGAAGCTCTTCTCTCATGCGGATTGAATCCCGCAAACTCAGCACCTTGACTGCCTTGCTCTCCACAATCTTGTTCCATTCTGCCGCATCTGCTTTTCGCCAACCCTTTCTGGCTTCCTCTGGCTCCAATTGAAGATTGACTTCTTCTGGCCTCCTCCTGTCGGTCAGCCACACATGGATGGTCTGGTAGTTCTCTTCTCTTCCTCCTGGCGCCCGACATTCTTCACATCGATGACCTCAAAGTCGGTGTATCCACGCCACCACATCACATCCTTGGTTGTCTTTTGATCCCACCGATCATGCACTTCTTCTTGTCGGCCTGATTGCGTGAACTTCTTCACCGTCCTTCTTTCCTTTGCCATTCCCTCGACCAGGCATGGCATGTCACTGGCTCTTCTCGGGTCAAACGCCGACTTTCTCTTCTTCAAGTGATGCCTTCGGAGAATTCGTCCTCCTTCCATCAACTCCCAGAAGCCGGCCTTTGTTGGAGGTGCGAAAGCTTCCTCAAGCCACTCTGCTCTGTCGTCTTCCTCCTCCTCATGTCTTTCCTCTTCGGTGGTCAAGTGAAACTCCTGAAAGTATGGGTCCCGAGTAGGGCCTCTTCGTGAACTTCTCCATCGCGCCGGTTGTCCATATGGTGGTATGTCGTCTAGTCGGTCCGCCGCTTCAATGGACCGACGATAGGCATCATGTATGCCACTTCTTCCAATGGATGCCGATGCACTTGCTGATGGCGTCTCCACTTGCCTCTCAGAAGCCGCTCCTGGGATTTCTGCATCCAGTTCTTCTGACATTCCTTCACTGCCCGGCACCTCAATCGCCGGAGTTTGACCATCTGTCCTTTCTGACCTGACAGTCGGGGTGTACTCTTCCTCTTCTCCTATCGGCAGCTCATGCTCTATCCTCCTCCTGTCGACCGCCTCCTCTTCATCCTCTTGAAGTTCTTCACGCGGTCTTTTGTGGCTCTCGATCTCTCCTCCTCTTTCTTCTTCTTCCTTCTTTTCCTCTTCTGTCCTCTTTGGCCACGGTTCATCCGTGAGATCTCTGAATCCCGCCCGGTTGGATGTCTTGCGGTATTCCTCCACCAACTCCTTGCAGTCGGACAGGATGATCTCGATGCCCTGCTTTTCCGGATTTGTTGCCACCCGGCACTGCTCTCTAACTGCCTTCCATAGTTGACCAAACATGCTGATCCACAAACTGGCTCCGTCCACGGTGACCACGGTTCCGGGCCCAACCCAGTACGGCTTTCCGACTGTGCGATCGACACCGTCTGGGCCTCCTACCTTTCTCTTCCTCTGATGTGGGACCCGGTAGACATAGACGTAGTCGCCTGCAGAGAAGCTTTGTGGAACCCGACTTCTCGCCTGTCGAAGTTTCTGCGCTATCTTCCTGGCATTGTGCTCCACAAAGGCCTTTTGGGCGATCCTGCGCATCTCCAGGAGCCTCTCCATATCGTCGCCCACTGCTGCTTCCATCACGCTCACATCCACCAGGTCATCTGTGATCCCAGAGCCCGCCATTCTTGGCCATTGACCTATTTGTCTTTGAATGGGTGAATAGCCAGATCTGTTCGAGAATCGGTTCTTGGCCAGTTCAACTTCGTTCATCAACATTTTGAGTTCTTCTGAACTGGACACCACGGTTTCAGCTCTGGCCTTCTGCAGCAGGTCCTTGTAGTGTGCTCCATGCCTCTCCGTTCGTCCTTGTTGCCACGGTGCCTTGGCGGCTATTTGATGCGTGACTATGCCCTGAGATGCAGCCTTCTGCATAAGCTTCTCGGAGAACTCCTTACCAGCGTCGACACCAGCACATCCATGATGCCGAAGATCCGGATCCAGGTAGACCACAGCGTCCTCCAGATGGTCTCCGGTTGTTTGTCCTCCACACGTTCCACCAATTGATAGTTGCTTCCCCAGTCGACCATCGACAAGGCCGGAAATGAATGTCCACCTCCAATGTCCGGCAGGAAGATCAAGTCGATGCCAACAACTCGGCATGGCTGATATGTCCTCGGTATCGCTGCTGGTCGTACCGTCTTGGGCTTCGGAGTAGCTTCACAGGCTTGGCATTTGTAATGCTTACCGTCCACCTGATGATCTCTCCTCGAACTCTGGCGGCTCGCATGAGTCGTATGAGATCTGCTTTGGATGGACGTCCAACTCCTCGGTGCATCTTGTCCACCATCTTCTTCTCCTCGGGGTTCGGTTCATATAGCCCGATTGCATCTCCCCGGCTCGTTCTCCTCGTTCTGCTTCGGCTGGGATCTCCATCTGCTCATCTAGGGCGTCCTCCAGGTCATCGTCTTCCTCTACGAAGGCCTCCTGTCCGATCGGCTCTTGGGTCGTGCCGTTCAGATACCGCCGGAATCCTCTGATCAAGGCTTGACAGAATGACTGAGTATATGTCTGTGCTTTCTTTGTTCGATGTCCTCCTTCTAGTGGTTGGTGTGCATGCCCATGATCGCACAGTCGATGCGATCTCCCGGCAGTTCGTCATGACCCACGTCGGCTTTTTGTTCAATCCTTCTCCTACCCTCAGCCCGAACATGCACATGTGGCTCTCGACGATGATGACCCCTTCTAGGTGAGCCACCTCTTGGACCTCCGGCTCTTCCCAGCTCTTTGCGAGCTTGGGGTGTTCATAGACGAACTTCTTCTTGCGGGACCATTGCCAGCGGGCAATCAACATAGACACCTGCACGTGATGCAGCCCATCAGCAATCAGACACATCACCATGACCTTGTCCATACGGGAGTAATTGATGTTCTGCATAGGGCTGAATGAGGTACAAGGTGGACTGATCACTACAAGATCTGGATCCTTTTCCTTGAGCTCTGCCCACATCCTTTTGGCACTTGCGGGATCTCTCAGGTCCCAACCTGTCTGGATGTCAAAGGCGCCAGCAGACGTCATGCCATTCTCCTCTGCCACCTTAGTCACCCGAGGAACTGAGTAGACCTCCGCCACGCTTCCTTGTCTAGCCAGCTGTAAGCCGTTCATAATCATCTTTTTCTGTCTTCTGGGAAGCCCTCTCTCCTTGGTGTGCTCTTCGACGTGTTCCAGCAAAGCCCTGTTCGTGGGGGTTGCCCATACCTTCACCATGGACTTTTCTTCTAGCCTCACCTTTCCTTTCATTGGTCGCCAATTGCCCGTGTCATGCTCCAGGACCTGGTAATCGAGCTCCACCTGGAAGTAGCCATCTCCTTCATGTACTTGTTCTTGTTCACGCCGTAGCCATTTTCTTCCGCGACGGGTGTTGGCATACAGCCAGCTTCCCCCAGCTACTTTCATGTCTCTCCATCGCTCTCCAGCGAGACAATCGGGACGCTCGCTCCATCCATGCGACCCACCATCGAATCCAACCGGCCCTGAGTTTGGAGTGGGCTGTCGAACAACGTCCTCCTCGGGCTCTTGGACCTCCTGGTTCCGGTCGGCGTCTCCATCTCCGGGATGAATGAGAAGGACCCGATCGACATCGCGTCGGAATCCCTGTCCTCCCACCATGAGGATCCAAACATGTCTCTAGCACATCGGAATTACAAGAGGCATCGTGACATCTTGTTTGTTGAGAAACTTGCCATTTGTATTTAAGGCTTGGCGCTGTCTCTTAAGTACTGTGAGCGCTCTTCGTTTTTCAGCCCCACACCCTTGAGGAGCAAGGGTTCGGTGAATGAAGCTTAACGATGTAACGCGCCCATGCTGTTTAATCATGGTTCTTGAAGCTGTGTAAAGTTTTTTTGCGAGAAAGCCCGTTTAGGGAAGCGGCGTTCGAAAAACTATAGTAACATTTTCTGCAGCAGAAGGTTTTTGGCAGAAAGTTTTGTGTGGAAACGTTTTTTTCACATCAGTTTGGTTTCCATCCGCAGCCATTTTGGCTTTCGTCCACGGCCTTCTTGGCTGTGCGCGGGCGACCGGCGGTGTCTCCCAAGGCGCTATTCGCGCGAGTTGCGGCGCGCAGAGCTAATTGTAGGAAGCTTGTCGTTGTGTGATACGCGCAACGAGTGAAACACGAAGCGCTGGCTGAAGCGGAAGGGATTCACCACACCTTTTGCGACATACCTAGCAAATGGCTGGCCAAGCGCTCGTTGAGTTGGAGCAGGATGGGAACGGGCAGGTTGCGAAGGCTACTTGGCGCTCTTGCCGCGCCTATGCTATGTCATGGCAACTTGTTTTGTTGGTCATGGTCATAGCCGGTCTGCCCTTATGCTGCAATCCTTTCACTATGGTTTTTGTCGTCATAGTTACAAAACGTTTCCTGACAAGTGACAAGGCCCTGGCCGCATTGGTTGGACCGAGAGCGATGTGAGGGGCGTTGCGATGGGTATGTTTGAAGGGCTTCCGCTGTGCGCCCACAACCTCATCAAGAACAATGAGTGGAAGGGCGGAGGAATTGTGAGGTTGGACAACGCCTTGTCACGGCCATCAGCTGGCGACGTTGCAATCAACTATCACATGCTCAAACCGCTGATACCATTTTCGCCAGACAAGGCGCGCCGATTGCTCACACACTTTTGTTGGAAGCTTGGAGAAGGAATGGCCTGCCCGTTCATCTTTCATTTGATTGAGGTTTGCTCTGGCAATTTGTTGAAAGCTTGCGGGAGGAATGAAGGGTCTGACAGTTGATTTCGTGTTCGACCCTGCAGGTGTGCAGCGGCTACTTCATCACCGACTGTTTGCTGGGCTTGGATGAGTTGTTCGAGGGAAAGCTCTTGGTTGACGCTGCTGATGGGGGCAAGCGCAAAGTGGACATCGCGGCTGAGGAAGCGATGAAGCTGAAGATGTTGATGGGTGCGGTTCGCGCCTTGTGGCGGAGCTCGCCTTCAGGACAGCACCCGCGGGTCTCAGAACTCAAGGGCATGCTGCGCCCTAGCCCATCTCGCCGCCGTCTAAAAGAGGAGGTTTCCTGTCCATGCCATTGAAGAAGTTTTTGAGTTCCTTCAATACATATTTGAAGTATTGCTTTCACGGTAGGCGTCACCATGTTTTCAGACTCTGTAGTTTAAACTTTTTGTTGCTGGGTGCAAAAGGAAAATCTTCAGCAAGGCTAGTGATGACGATGCTCCTTCTCCCGCAGCCGCGGCCGATGCTCCTTCGCCTGACGATGCTCCTTCTCCCGCAGCCGCGGCCGATGCTCCTTCGCCTGATCCTGTTCAAGACGGCGACGCTGCTGGTGGCTCTGACCAAGAGTCTTCTGAGGGTGGCCCTGAGTCTGACCATGGCAGTGTGGTTCGTGTGCCGGAGGAGAGGGATATCTTAAGCCAGACAACGCTCGAATTGCCAGGACTTGGCAGTAGCTTGCTAGTGATTGGTGGTAAGTGTTTTTTTGGGTTTGACCAACGCATATAGTTGGTAAGCGGGAGTGTTTGTCACTGTCAAAGGTATCTTTTGCGTTTTCGGGCAAGCTTTGTAAAGGTGACTCTGAAGAGAGCCGCGATGGTTCTGGCAATGCTGACGGAGAGCCAGAGCCAGACAAGTCTCCAGACTCCCAACGCCCAGGTGCATGGATGTCTGGTGCATATTTGGCTCACTCCAGCCAAGATAGACTCGAGAAGGTATGTGTGCCCATCGAGGTGTTGTTCGAGTGGATGGTTGACCGCCGTCCTTCTGCGACCGACTTTGTGGGTACCTTCACCAAGGCTGATTTGAGGCACCCAGCGTGATTGCAACAATGACAGTGCAGTTGTGTTGCAAGCACTGCTGAATGTATAGTCTTATGTTAATTTAAGTTTGGCTAAAGATTTTGAACTCCGCTACCAGTTGTAAAGCAAGCCTAATGCAGTTCGCTCCTCTTGCGTTCAGGGACCCTTTGTTCAACGACTACCTCTACTTTTGCGTGAGTGAGATGAGCAAAGATGGCCACAGTCCTTTGCACAACACTCTTGGCAGCCGCAACAACTGGCAGATCTGGCAAGCAGCTAGGAAGGGTGAGGCGGGGCACCGAATTCTGAAGAGTTTTGGGAAACTCTTGTGCTCAAATGTTCCGTTTGAATGAATAGGTCATTCAGGTTTGGTTACCACCTCCAAGTCATTCAAGTTTATATACTTCACTGTACTATACTATTTATATACTATTTCTTTACTATATATATGTATATATTTATGACCATCTATTTATCGCCAAGTCCAGTCAAACCCGTGGAAGCAGCAATGGCCTCCAACCTACGCGAGCTGCCAACCCAAGAGCGTTGGCCTCCGACCTACTAGATGGCTCCCAACGCGATGGCCTCCAACCTACTAGTCATGGCCTCAGCGATGGCCTCCAAATGCCTCCAACCTACTAGCGATGGCTGGCAACCCATGCAAGAGCGATGGCCTCCAACCTACTAGCGGTTGCTTCCAACCTAAGAGCGATGGCCTCGTCATGGCCTCCAACCTAGAAACAAAGGCCTCTAACCGTGAAGAGCGATGGACTCCGATACCCACGCGCAGAGTTTTTCTGCGCTCCGATGGATCAAGGCATCCTCATCGCGGCCTGTCGCAGCACCATCGCGCAAGCGCGCAAAGGACTGATGTTTGCCCAACAACGGGTAGAACGTGAAAAACCAACATAAACCAACATTCCATGCAGGCATGTTCCGATTTACTTGTGGGGCCACTCTCACCCTGGAGGAGGAGGTTGCAAAGGCTTCTTCTGACTCTGATTCAGATTCGATGCGGGTGCACTGCAAGAAGTCTGTCTGCCCCCCAAAGGATTTCGAGAAGGTGGCACACATGCTGGCTGGAGATGTTGAAATTCCTGGCAAACAGCATGTACCCGGGTTGAAAATCTCAAAGAAAGAGTTTCTATCAAGGTGTTGTTTTTCTATCCTGAAGTATAGGCTCATTGCCTTAACCCATGACCCGTGCCCGCAGGTGAGCAAGCCTTCTTCTTCTTCCAAGAAGACTTCGAAGCCAGGCGCAAAGGCGGCCAGCAGCAAAGTCGCCAAGACACACCTGAAGGAGGTTGGGCCTGGGGTGTTCAAGGGCTACAACCTCAAGGCCCTCGGTGTCCCGAAGGAGGCATGGCCTAACGTTGGCAAACCCTACAAGGGCATTCATGGGTATACAAAGATCAGCGAGAAGACCAACGCAGTTGCTTGCTGGCTACAGCAAGCCCTTTTCCATGTTCAGTTAAATTATGTTAAATTCTAAATAAATCTTCGGATCAAGACTATAGGTTGCCAAAGATCCCAACAAGTTTTCCACTTTCCATAGGGATTGGGGGGAACCCAACGCGAACTGATCTCAGGCAGTGGAGGTGCTGTTGAACAAGAAGGCTTATGTGGTGAAACGTGTCGGCGAGGGGGCCGACGTGTCCAAGATCGGTCAGCTGACATGGTCGACCAATGGTGGACCACTTGAAGCGTGGAATCTTGCAAAGAAGAACGCTAACTATGATGGGTAGATTTTTGTGGCTGCTTTGGGGGCAGCGTGCGCATACATGTTGGTATGCAGTAGCTGCATGGGGTTGTTCACAGAGCCTAGAGTTGCACAGGTCTTAGAGAGAATTTTGATCTGTGTGCAAAGCTCATGTGCCGGATTTGTCGATCGTTCCTTTACCACCGCTGCAAAAAAGTGAAGGCCTCAATCCGTTTCAATCATTTTTAGATGTCGCACACCTTAGATATCACCATCCTAGACATCAAACCTTAGATATCAGCTTTAGATATCACCAACTCAGACTCAGTTGGTTCAGGTTGGCTTCAACAACATGTTGATATATGGACAAAATCCCGACGCAGCAGGCTATGTCGCTGCGCTTCATTGCCGAGCGTCAGAGGACCGCGCATTTCGCTGCGTCCATGCCAGGGCCATCCATCTGCAGCGGAGATATCTCCTTAGATTAGATAGTTTGTTGAGAGGCCCTGAAAGTCCTTCCGGTCTCTTCTTGATTGTTTTGTGAAGGACTTTGAGTTACATTGGGTTGGCTTGCAAGTGTTAGTTTTATAGCCCAACGCAGGACCTGGGAGCTTTGAGTTGGGCCAATGACATCAAAGGACAGTGTATTCGGAGTGGTGAGAGGGTTGTGAAATCGGGGGACCAACGGCTTTTGTGAAAGTGAGATACGAAGTCTCAGCCTTCAATAAAGAAAGGGTCCAAACACTTCGCAACACGGCGACATTGAGCAGCGTTGCCTGGCCTAATGTTTTAAGGTGAGGCTCAAAAGGTGACTAAGCTCCTGATCCAATCTTGATTTTCCTTGGTCTCTTTGCAATGGGCAAGGGCCGTGCGGGCAGCATGCCGTTTGGGTCTTCGAAGGGTAAAAAGAAGACAAACCCCAATCTCTCCAAGACTAAGAAGCTGTCTTTCAAGAGCATGATGCGGACTGTTGTCTTGCAAGGCCTCAAACACCTAGGGGCGCCTTCCGTTCTTCTACTGATATTTCAGTAGTTTTTTCTGTGTTGAAGACTTTGCAGGTCCAGGTCAAAACACAAAGTGCCCCTTTCGACCGTGTTTCCTGGTGTCCAAACATTAAAAACATGGCATATCCACAGCTGGCCTTGACCTGTCTTTGGCAACTGGCTCTTGAGGTTTTGGCGTTGCTGGTTGCATTGGTCTTCAGCACCAACAATCTGACCTGGTCTCCACTAGACCACTTTGAGACGTTTGCGGGAGCCCAATCAATCACAAAGGGCGAGAAGCAGGTTGGGGGTCCAATGCTCAACCGCTTGTAACGGCTGCGCATTGTGCAGAGGGCGCCCGTTTTCACAGTTAACAAATAGAAGCATATATTGCCATTTATGTATACATATATATATATATATCAGGTATATCTATATTTATATCTATATCTATATATATATATATATCTTTCTATCTACAGGGTTGCGTAGGAATGTGGTGTGCTTGGAGGCTGGGAGGAACGCTGTGGCCTTTGAGATCCAGCTTGATCCAACCGGCAAGTCCCATGACATACTATCGGATGAAGGGTTCGCCAACGCAATCTACCAGACTCTGCGGCTGCGCATTGCAAGCGGAAGCCTGCATGCGCCTGTGTGCAGTACATGGGTGTTTATGTACCATGGCACAAATTGAAACAGGGTTCAAACAAGTGGGCCTGAATCAAACCTTAGCTCACCCCATGACAGATGCCCATCAAAAGGGGTTGGCATGCCCGAACATGTTTTGGCATGTGTTTGGTGTTTGTGAACCGAATCAACTGCCCGTGGTTCACCCGTGCACCGCTTCTGAGGAGCAGAGGCTCAACGGGGCGCTCAAAAGGGTCGCCGCTGGGGAAGAAAACGCCCAAGGTTTGTGAAGGAAATATCATGACTGCCAGAGTCTTGATCCTTTGCCTACTAGCCAGCTCCAAAGCTGTCTGGTGGCTTCTCGAACAACCACGGTCGAGCATAATGGAACTTCATCCAACATTCCAGCGTGTTTTGAGGGCGGTGGACGTGCGACGCCTGTTCTTCGACATGAACCAGTTTGGCGGGCCTACGAAAAAGCCAACTGTTCTGTACAGCAGCCCCCTGTCAGTGCACAGACTTTGGGGAGCATGTTTGGGTCACCTTCACACTCACCATAAATCATCTTTCAAGAACTGGCCATGGTTTCCCCCAATCTCTCTCGGTACAGTTTTGGTATAAGGTGGCTGCCAAATTTCCACTTGAATTGGGTCCTGAAAAAGGCCCCCGCAAGTCCGATACCAGTAGCAAAGAATCCATATTTTGGAGGGGCCAAACTAGACTTGCGGGGGTCTTTTTTCATGACCCAATCCATGGGTTGCCAAAGGTGGCCTGCAGGTCCTTATATATATCGAAAAAGAAGGCAGCTAGGCCACCTTCCAAAAACCAAGGTCACCCAGAGATTGATGACCTCTTGAACGAACGCAGGGCGCCGAGGGCAATTCAAAATGCACCAGAAATGACCGTGCGTTACATGGACAAATCTGGGAAGATGAGATGCAAAGGAGGGGCTGACCTCAAACAAAGTCAGC